CCGACATGACCCCATAAACTGTCCCGACATTGATTCCGGTCAGCTTCTACATCGGTCTGACATGACCCCGTAAACTGTCCCGACATTGATCCCGGTCAGCTGTCAGCTTTTACAACGGTCCGACATGACCCCGTAAACTGTCTTCTACAACGGTCCGACATGACCCCATAAACTGTCCCGACATTGATTCCGGCTTTTTCAAGTATCTTGGGTGTCCCGTGCCAGTCCGGTCTCCGTGTTTCCTTGTCCACTGAGCACGTTCACTCCCCCCTGCTCCTCCACTGCAGCATATGGAGGACCTCCAAATCGGAACATCACGGTTAAATCTAACCCACTACCTTCACCCACTTAAACCTACTCCACTAAACCTAACCCACTACACCACTACCACCTCACCTACTCCACTAAACCTAACCCACTACACCACTACCACCTCACCTACTCCACTAAACCTAACCCACTACACCACTACCACCTCACCTACTCCACTAAACCTAACCCACTACACCACTACCACCTCACCTACTCCACTAAACCTAACCCACTACACCACTACCACCTCACCTACTCCACTAAACCTAACCCACTACACCACTACCACCTCCACTTCACCTACTCCACCACTCCACCTACACTTCACATCTCCTATATAATGTACATACAATACATCAACAAAATACACATCAATCAATAATACATTAATTTTAACACTATATATTTTTTTTATACATATATATACATAACGGAACTTCATTTCACTGATATTGCTCTCTACCTTAAATCCAACCCCATTAATATCTCTTTCTCTCTCTCTCTATATATATCCCCCATCTTTATTCTGTTATTCATTTCATCCATTTGTTCTGAATCCTCTGTTTCTCTCTTTCTTTTTTATCCTAGTGTTTGTGTCTGCTGCTGTGCATGAAACCTAAGGGAATGGCTTCTGAGGTTAGCTCTCTGGTTCGGATCATGTTGACACTGACTACAACGAAGTGATGGTTCATGAGAGCTTTATTCCATGAAATTGTAGAATGATTTTCTATTCTTTACAATGAGCTGTTCCTACGAAGACAGCTGAACCGTTCAAAGATTGTGAAATATCCTAATGTGACTGAAATATATGATGCTGTCAAACCATGATACCAATGGTTCCTCTTTTATGTTTTGATGAGAAGTAACTATTAAAGCTGTGCTGATTCTGTCCACATTAACAGAAAGGGATCTCGGCGTGGACATGATACTATCATTGATGGCATGCTGAAAGATAGGCTATGGGATGTTTACAATGATTTTGGAATGGGAGTATATGCAGATGTATGCGCTGATAAATATACCATGACAAGAGAAGAGCAGGTAGTATTCTTCGCCCATCTTTCTGGTTTAAAGTTTCCCTTGAATGATTTTGTTCATCTCAATTCATGAATTGCTATGTTTAGCAGTCTTCAAATCCATTGTGCAAATGAAAACATTTGAAAAACAAGAATTCGTCCAGAAAAAAAGAACAAATTGGTTGCATTGATCAAGCTATTGCTATCACTCATATTCATTCCACTTGGATGTTTCTTCTTTGCTATATCTTGTTTTCTTTTCTAGGATGCTTATGCTATAATTTGCAATGATCTTTTGGAGATGATATTGAATCAGTATGTTTACCTTCAAAAAGTAATTGTTCCAACTGATAGTTGGATAGTATAAAGACCCAGACTTACAATTCTAAATTTGTGTCAAGAATAAGAAAATGAGGTAGAGATTAAAATATATATTATAAGATTGTTGAGAGGGTAATTTATATGGATAACTTGGGCCGAGCTGGGTAATGGGCCGTTATGGGCCACAGTACGAAGGCTGAGTAAGAAGGCCGTAAAGTTAGTCCGGTCCTAGAAGGCCTTAAAGTTAGTCCGGTCCCAAAGAGCATCTTGTTATCTCGGTCCAGGAGAGCACTACGGATAGCTCGGTCGCCAGGTTGCCACATTCGAAGTTAGCCCGGTCGTGGCATAGTGCAGCTAGCTCGGTCAGAACCATGCTAATTGTTAACCTGGTCTAATCATGCCAGGGTCTGTGCAGGAGGAACCGAGGTAAGAGTAGTGGAAGGAAGAACCAAACTAGCTATAGTTCGGTCTACTCTGCGGCTCAGCATAGCCATGCTTACCTCGGTCATATTGGAATCCGACCATGGTAAAACCATCTCACTTGATTTAAGCAGTGAGGGGAGAGTTGAAGGATAAGCATATCTTTCAGGAAGGTAACTCCTAGGAGGACTCTACATGGAGGAGTAAGAGTCCTATTAGGATTATGCCACGCGGAATCTATAAAAGCTCATAACATCACCTATGGAGAGGTAACACAATTTTGATTCTCGAATACACAGAGCTTTTGTCTATTTGTCTATTTAGCTGACTTAGGCATCGGAGAGGTATCCGACACACACTTGTCGACTACCTCACGTTTGTGTTTTCAGAGAGTAAAACGACGTCGTACGGAGGAGCACGAACTTGATCAACAGGGTTATACGAGAAGGTTTATTTCTTTCCCGTACAATTGTTATATAGAATGAAGAGAGACATATTAAAAATTTTAAATTAAAACTCAAAAACAACTTATTCAAAACTTAAAAATTTTCCCTATTAAAATAGAAAAGAGAAGTGTATAGCAAAGAAAATGTAGAAAAATTAAGAGATCGAAGATAGAGGCAGATGTAGAGAGAGGATTGTATTCAGGTAACTAATTTTTGTTTAAATCTACTCAGATTTGGTAAGAGAAGAAATAAGACGTGGTTGCTTGTCACTGGGAATGTAAACAGGTAAACTTTCATCTCCAAAGTTGCCAATTTCGGTCACAACCCCTTCCCACCAGCCATCGCTCCACCATGCATCCATCGAAGCTCTAACCTCAAAGGCATGGTCTATTTGATCATGACGAAGGACGGGCCTGATTGTTGGGCGGCCCGGGCATCTCATTCCAAGTTTGTCAGGTATGGCCAGTTTGAAAGCGAGAACCCATTCCTAAAAATTGAATAAAATGTTAGAAAATGCCTGTTTTCCTCGTCCACGTGGGAACTGATGCACAGAAAGACAAAACATTTTATCCCAGTGAATCCTAAACTCTTGCCAAAAGGTAATGAACCTAGTCTAAAATGTTGGGCAACTATAATTCACATTGAGTTTCCAATGAACCCTAGCCTATCACCAAAAGGTAATGATAATGACCTAGTCTAAAACACTGGGCATTGCTTTAGACAAAGCAAGAAAAGAAACAGAATGGTTTCGTCACTTCTTAGAAGACATTCTGCATTCATTGTAATAGTCAATTTGCAACAGGCAAGACACAGAATCATATGTATAATGGTAAGTCACGACATATTCGTCGTCGACATAATATTGTAAGGCAATTGCTCTCAAATGGAATAATCTCAATAGATTATATAAAATCTAAAGAGAATATTGCGGATCCGTTAACAAAAGGTTTGACAAAAGAACAAGTGTACAGTTCATCGAAGGGGATGAGATTAAAACCCATTACATAAGAGTTATCATAATGGTACTTATATAACTGGAGATCCCAAGAACTAAGTTCAAAGGGACAACTAAGTTATGTGTGGCACGCCAGAAATCACCAAGGGATTAAAATTCCCTATTCAATAAATATAATGGTGTTGTTTTAAATTTAGTTTAAAGTTTTAATTAATTTTAAATATTAATTATTAAATTTTCAATTTATTTCCATCATGCTGTCAATAAAATATACTATCATTGTCCCATCAATGGCACAGTCATTGTAGTCACCATCATAATCACACCACTACTCCTTTCACTATTTTAGTTAAAAAATTAAAAAGTCAATAATTCATACCAAAAAATCAAAGATTCTCTTTTCTCTTTACTTTTTTCATATATTTTCGTAAAAAGCTAAAAAGTCATCCCAAATATACTAATTTTTTTAAACTCATATTTTAACTAAATAATCAAAAAGTTAATAAATTAACATGTTCACAAACGAGGCCTACTACAATTACCTCCCCGACCAACACAATAACTACAACCGCTATTGTCACTATTGTTACACTATTATTATGATTTTTTTGAATAGTTGGTAAAAAAATAATTTTTTGACTTTTATAATTTTTTGATTTTTTTGTACTAAAAAAATTAATTTTTTTATAACCTTTTTAGTTAAAAAAACTAAAAAATTAAAAAATTAACTTTTTACAATGTACTCAAAACATCTCCTTATCACCACTATCGCTACAAAGTTATTATTACTATTACTATCACCACTATCACACCATCACTATTGTGACTATCAGTCCACTACTATCGTCAATGCTATTGTCCCTATCATTGCTTCACTACCACCACCATTGCAGACACTTTTAAATTTTAATTTTCAATTTTTTATTTTTTATTTTTTCAAACAACATTTTAAATAGTGTTATGTAATTAGTAAAAAGTGGAATAATTGATATAATGACCTATATAACTGTCTCTTAAGAGAGTAAAAAAATCAAAAATTTATAATTTAAAACTGTTTCAAAATAAGTTGGTGGTGGGGGATATGAGAGTTCAGGTGGGTCATCAGGCGGCGGTGGAGGAAACGATTCATTATCAGGAGGTGGCGGGGGAATCCAATCATCATCTGGAGGGGGTGGAACACCAAAAGTTTCTGGTGTCACAAAAGATTCATGTTCTGCAGGTGGATTTGGCTGAATAGTCTGTTCTTCTGGAGCACAATATTTGGCAGCCAATGAATCTATGGTAATTGTGGCATTTTCTGGAGTTGCATCTTCAACTTCCATGTCCACATCCATATCCACATCTTCCCTGTAAAATTCAATGTATAAAGAGAGAAATACAGAGAGAATAAATGTATCTATTGATATTATATATGTTGTGTTGAGCTCTCTCCTTTATAGAGGAGAGGGAGAACAATTACAAACCGAAAGTAGAAGCATAAACCAAACAACATCATTAAAGGTACATTATTAAAGGTTTGACAGCTAATATATATACTAATATATACTAACATTCCCCACTATGGAGTACAACATTGGAAGTTAATTCAGTTGGTTGTGCAACTCCATGAACTCCACTGCTCCCTGCAACACCACTGCCTGAATGAGCTGTGGGATAATCAATTACAGAAACATGTTCAGCTTGGAGAACATCATTATTGGCAACTTCATTTTTTGAATCTTTCTGCGACTCTGTTACATAAACATCCGCAGAGGGGAGATCAAAAGAAGAAGAAACTACTTTCTTTTCATTTCCATCTGCATCAATCTCATTCCCCTCACTTTCCCATGAATTATGTGGTGCTTCAGCATCGTGTATTTTGGTAGAATCAGCAGATTTAAAAAGTTGGGAAACTTCATTGTCAATGACACCTTCTAGCTCTTTAAGGTGCCTCTCGCAGTGCACCCAGAAAGGTAACAAGGATGATCCAAAAGGTAAAAGTGACTTGATGTCAGAAAGCCTAATCTCAACTTCCAAAAGAAACTTTGATATCCATTCATGCCCTTGCATGTGGCTCTTGGAACTGAAATATTTCAAATATCATCACAAGAGAAAATTATTTTACAACAGAATAAAAATTTGGCAAACTTAAATTACAGGAGGAAATCTCTATTCATCAAGAAGATAGATAATGCAAAAAAGTAGATAAAGAAAACAGTGGTCAAGGATGTCTGTACCCTTTCAGTGATTTTAATCTCTCCAATAAATGCTCACTATGCTTCAGAACTAAAAAACTAAGGTCATTCTCCGTGTCATCTTCTTCATGAACCATGGATTGATCAGCATCTGTGGCATCCCCATTGCACAAGAGAGTATCACCCAAGTCCTGGGAAGAAACACTGTCCCCAAGTGAAGAAATTTTATGATACAGGGCAAGGGCTGCATTGGAGCTATTTTTCGTCTCAGTTTGGTTAGCATCAGAACCTGGCCTTTTATCTTCTAAACCTTTATCTTTAAATCCATCATTCTGATCCTCTATCTGGGCCTCGGGCTCATCAATTTCTCGAGTTTCATGGATTACATTGCCTGCTTTACAGTGATTATTAGGATGCACTGTTACAGAATCATCCAATTCCAAGTCTAAAGTGGAATTTGGTTCATGTGTCCCACCAAGAGGACCGTTTCTTACTTCAGTATCAGGAGCAGTTTTCTGCTCACCCGTCAATTCAGTTCCCTGAGCCAACAGATCAGGAACTACCCATGAAGTTTCCCCTGTCACAGTATTCCAGTAGTAATATTGATTGCTTTCTTCATGCAACACAACCTTCCAACTTGAAATCACATCACCGGTTAAGTGTACATCAGAAGTTCCTGGAATAGATGCTTCTTCCGTTGAAACAACTTTGCACAAATCAGCTGTGACAGCAGAATCAATTTCTCTAACGTCATTGTCCTCTCTGTTCTGCAAAGGATCTGGTGAAACAGAACCTGTTTCTAGGTCATGTCGTTTTTCCTTGTCAGCATCAAGCTCCATGCTTGCATTGTTTTCCATATCTTCATTTTCTGTGCCTACAGATCCCTTTACCTAATTCAATGTAAACAAAATTTAGTATGTGAAACACATAATTTTAATGTGGAAAGGTGCTGGAAAGTAAACAAACCCTTTAAGTTTACTCCAGAACTTGGAAACTATTAGGTGATTGTAGGAGAGGGTTCAAGAAAGGAGTTGGAAAATTCGAAGATCGAATTCTCTAGAATATGATGAGAGGCTTAGATTCTTCAATAATCTCAACTTAGGAACACAACAACAAAGGAGCTGCTCCAAATGAAAAGCAGACAGATAGTTTGCATAGAATGAATATGGAGTTTACACATGACAAAAAGCATTGAGGACCTGCCACTACCATAACACTGGAATTTAGCTCACAGCTTGTAACATTTTAGAAACGTATACTAGCACAAACTTGAGAAATGCATCCTTTAATAGAATCATCTCTGAACTCAAATTACAGGAAGCACAACATGACATCACCAACATGAATTTTAGAAAAGATCCATCTAAGAAAAAATTTAACTAGACATAAAACCAAACCCAGCTTTAGTTTCTTTGTTCAGGCCACTGGAGGTGGATAAAGATGGTTGTGGGGACCGAAAGGGGTGGTTGTTGATGAAGATGATGTCCTCCAGATACTCTTATGCTAATCACTCACTATTAAAATATTGACCACCTGAGCCCGTCATAGCCAAGCTCACGTTTGTTACAAAGAATAGCTTTCTTAAAACTTGAATTTCTGATTTGTGCACCACAAAAGCATACTCAAGGATAATCTATGACATGGGAAATACACCTTCCTCCACAATAGCCAATTAAAAAAAGATTGTGGAATCAATAAATCACCTGTTCATCATCATCTTCAGCAGTGGACTTCTCTGCAGTAACATGGTCAAGTCTTTTACTTGATTCCTCATCCAACTCATCATCGCTGTATTTCCCAAGTAACAACAAAGGATTCTCTGACTGTTTACCTGAAAAACAAAATACCAACATGTCAAAAGCCTTCAAAACACATCAAAAGAATCCTACCTAGCAATGACTAACATATCTGATCACAGGAAAATATATATACTGCAGGTATAAACTACAACAAAGCAGTTGCTGTGAAAGTCAGAAAACAAAAAGAATAAAACAAGAATAGTCAATCATAATTTGACTGTGAGATTTTCAGATCAACTCATCACAACCACCTGTTACACAATGATTAGTTGTTAGTGAAGCATAAAACAAATAAAGCCAGAGACATACGAACCGCGAAGGAAAACAATTCCTATCGAAATCTCCAAACCGCTTTGATGCCACGAAAAATAAAAGGCATATCAGGTCGGGAGTTTCATTCAATAATTCAGGACTCATCTGATGACCAATTGAACGTTCCCGAGACTACAGCCACCCTACATGCTGAAAACAAAAATTCTTTCGGGCAAACAATATGTTCTGTACAAAGTATAATTTCCACCAAAATTTCCTCTAGTCTCCTGATGTAATTTCCCACCTGCTTAAAATCTACTAGCTCTAATTGTGGGGTTAAGAGAATTTCCATAGCTCCCTGAGGCACCATAAAAAAAAGGCTCAAAATGCATGGCAAAAAAAGGAGAAAAAATCAGAAAAAAAACAATATATAAAATATCAGGTGCATCAAAAAAAAAAAAAAAAACTGCAGCTGCTTGGTGCTACTGGGTTGAATTGTTTCGGAATTTTCTTTCTTGTTTCTGCTGTGTGGTTTTTTCTCTCTTTTCTTGTTGGTTTCTCGCCAATTTTGGTGGTGCTAGCAAATGATTGGGTATCCTCCTTGGTGCCACCCTAATTAGAATTGGGGGGGCGTACTTTGATGCTTTTTGCATCTCCTTTCTTTATTGATGTTTTTTCATATGTAATGTATGTTTTCTCATCAATAAAGTATTTTTTTGTTGATCAAAAAAATTTAAATTGAATTAAGTGATTTGATTTTTCATATATTATCTTTTGATTATTAGTTCCTACGGCATAATATAACAAGAACAAGGCTTCATAAAAAAAAATATAAATAGTTTCGTTTCTATTATTGAGAGAACGGTTTAAGCCAACAATAAGAAGCAGTCAAGTAAAAGTCCTCTTCATCTCGTTATTGCTCCGAGCCTTCACTTCCAACTCGGCCGTATCTAGTGACCGCGACGATAATTCAGGCTTAAGCATTAGCGATTCTATGGAAAAGTGCCGGAACAATTACAATTGTGTTGGGTTCACCACAAGCAATAGCAATGCTGGTCCAGAGAAATTCTCTGGGTTTCAAGTTAAGCATTCCAGGTTCCAAATTGTGAATTGAATTTTTTTTTCATTTGAAGTTGAAACCAGAGAAATTCTCTGGTTTTTAAACTAAATTTTCTCTGAGTTGGTCCAGAGAAATTCTTCCCAGAATTTCTCTGGACCAATTTTCTCTGTGACGTGAATTTTCTCTGAACCAATTTTCTCTGGAACTGAAATTTCTCTGGATTGATGTTGAGGGACCTTAGACATTATGAAAATATTTGATATCTTTTGTACTATAAACTCATAATATCAGGGACCTTAAAAAAAATATCTCATAATTTTATCATCTCTCTTCCCATATTGTTTCAAATACTTTTTTTAATACAATAATCAAATAAAAAAATCTAACTCATTTTATCAAATACGAAAATTAAAATAGTGTATTAAATTATCCAAATAACTAAAAAGCTAAAGAAGTATTTACTTTTCAAACATCTCTTAATGGAAAAAAATTAAGTGCAACAGTGATATCACATTATTGATATAACCATTTAACTTACCATGCTTGTGATAAGGTGATTATTTAGGGTTGTTTGGAATGACCTAAATAAATGTACTTTTTGTCTTTTTACGAAAAGATGTACAGAAAAGTAGAGAGGTGATGTAATAAAAAAAAGATAAAAAAATGAATTATTTTACAATTGCCAAACTTGGCCTTATTAAAAATGGGGTTCAATTGTTATTATTTATTTGTGATAATACGTAGCAACACCATTGAAGTGAAATTTTATGCCACTTTTAAGGGGTGGATATAGAAGATCTCACCTCTATATAGCCTACGTTTGGCAAGATAGGTTTGAAGTTTTTTTTTGTTAAAATAATTACAAAAAATAAAATAAATTTTTTAGTCCAATAAAATAAAATATCGTATCCAACCTATAATCATTATATTTTTCTCTCACAAAAAAATCAAAAAAGTCAAAAGTCTTTTCCAAATCAAGCTTTTTAGCACCAAGTTAAAATAGTCAAAAAAATTAAAAAACCAAAAAGTCAGCTCACTTCCCAAACGAAGCCATAAACATGTCATAAGGCTTTGTTTAGGAGCAGACTATTTTAGTAATTTTTTGACTTTTTAGCTAAAATACGAGATAAAAAAATTAGTATGTTTGAGATGACTTTTTGACTTTTTACGAAAAGATGTGCAAAAAGTAGAGAGAAATGAAATATTTGACTTTTTGATATAAGTTATAAGTTTTTTGACTTTTTTAATAATTTTTTTACTTTTTGACTAAAATATTACCTTGCCAAATGAGGCTAAAATCACACGTCGCTACTAGCAGCTGGGCCTCGCACATACACACCACCACACCTAAATATTTTCCAAGCAAAAATGCTGACCGTGGAGGAGGTCCGGGAAGCACAGCGGGCCCAAGGTCCGGCGACGATTATGGCGATTGGAATGGCAACTCCTCCCAACTGTTTCGATCAGAGCACATTTCCAGATTATTACTTTCGTATTACTAATAACGAGCATAAGACTAAACTCGTAAGAAAAATTTAAGTGCATGTGTAAGTTATATATACACAGTGAGATTACTGAATAATTTTTTAAGTTCTGGCCACCAAAATTTTAGTATATTCATGCATGTATCCAACCACCTGCTTGTGTGCATTCAAAGTGACAATTTTGAGAAAGAGTCCAGCTTGTCTCAAGTTGAGATTAAGACTAGACCCGTTCAGTTCGGCCCATGGGGTCCATTACTTGGGCCCTTTTTGATAATCCGAACCGTTCAATATGTAGAACTCGTCGAGTACTATATGTCTGTAAAAAATCACATTGATCGGATATCAATAGCTATCTGATCAAATCAGTTTTGTATAAAACAAAATGGACGGTGAAACAATTAACAGTTGATAAAAAACTATTTTGTTCACATAGCTATCGATATCCGATCAACGTGATTTTTTACAGGCATATAGTACTCGACGAGTTCTACACATTGAACGGTTCGGATTATCAAAACGGGACCCGTGGTGGGCCCCACGAGCTCAACAGCACGGTACAGTCCGATCTTAGACTGGACCAAAGCCACGACCTTTGAGAAAATCAGTCTGCTTGATTTCAGTTTTCTGAATTCAGTATTTTGAAAATTGATTTTTTTTTATTTTTCGTGTTTTTTTTTTTGTTTTTAGTAAATATTTTTAAAATTTTAAGTAACTTTTTTACTTTTTTAGATGCACTTTACTTAGATGTATCTAAATAGTAAAATATATGTGAAAAAATATTTTAAAAAATTAATAAATACACAAAAATACGAAAATGTATTAAATTTTTGTAATTTTTATTATTATATATTTTTTGGTATTTAGTGTATTTTTTAAAGATTTTTTTACAAATATTATACTTTTTAAGTGTGTTTATGTTAGGTGTGTCTAACAATTAAAAAAAAATTGTTTCAAATATTAAAAAAATTCAATGAAAACATTAAAATACGAAAAATAAAAAAGTAAAATTTTCTAAAAACTAGAACCAAACAATTGTTTTTTATATTTTCAGTATATGTTATACTCTCCAACATTCTTTTATAAAGAAAAAACCCAACATTTAGCCGGTTGAGATTTTTATTGAGTTAATTATCTAAAACTACCACTACTAGAAAACTGACTTTTTGCTACTATATAATTTGCTGCGACTGTTTTTTATTATTTGCGACGGTTTATAGCGGTCGCAAAAAGTGATTTTTTTAGTAGTGTACTATTTATAAATGTTAGCTTAGGTTTTATTTAAGATTTTTTGAATTAATAAATCTTATTTAGTAAAAATGAAACTATTATCAGTTTTTCCCAATTTTCAAAACTAAGAATATTATCAATTTTGCATAATAATATTCAAGATAATTGTTTCACTAACTGATAAAAAAAACAGACCATGAAATTAAATATTTTTACCCTTTTACGAATTGGTTTGATTCAACTATCTAATAAAACCGACAACATTATCAATTTTTTCATTTTTAATTTTTTTTTTTCAATTTTGCATATCAATGTTCCATCATCATTCTCCTTTATCTATACAAAATTTTCAATTTTGTACAAAAAAATAATTCAATTTTTTCAAATAAAAAACTATTTAGTTTTTTTTTTTTTTGCACATAATTTTTTTTTATCCCATCAATGTTGTTTTTTGCATAGATGAAATATTCAATGAATCTTACATATTAACAGTTCAGATTATTAATGTGAGCTTCGTGACGGACTGATAGAGCCTAATAACATTCACCTGTCCAATTTCTACCCAAGAGGAGCCTCTGTTATTTTTGATTTATGCTTCAAAGTTTCCTTCAAACTTGTTTCCTAATCAAAGGCTTGGGTCATTAGGTTATATTTGTTTGGCGAATTAGATTGAATGTGATTATTAGTAAGGGGATGGTTAGTAAAGAGATTGTTAATGTGGGGATTGTTAGTGAAAAGATAAAACAAAAGTGTGTTTATTTTGATGATAGTATGAGAGATGGTTAATAATGAAATTGTTAAATTATTTTATATAAAATAAATAAATAAATTATTTTTATATTAAAAAACTAAAACAAATATTAAAACAAACAAGTACACTTGGTAAAAAATAAAATAAAATTATAAAAATAATTTTTTTTATATATAAAATAGACTCAATCTCCTTATTATTTTTCTAATCTCACTCAAAACCTAACCAAGTTAATCTCCCTTACTGAGAGGAATTACTAAGTCCCTCGGACTATCAATCTGCCATCCTATTTCACTATCAAACATGTTGTGGGTGAGACCCACAGCCATAGTAGTTCAATCCGGCCACTCAAGCCACAAAATAAACATGTCCTTAATGTCTACCAGTACTAGGGCTGAGCAAGAAATCCGTGAAATTCGTAATCCGATCCAGTCCAGTCGGTCCAATCCGGACCATGCTCACCCCTAACCAGTACATGACATCAACGCCTTGTTATTTGGCAATTCAATATTTTAATTTAAAAGTCAAGAATTCATTAAAAGAATTAAAAAATTAACAATTTATATAAAAAAAGTCAAAGATTTTTTTCTCTTTATTTTTTACACATGTTTTCGTAAAAAATCAAAAAGTTATCCAAACATATTAATTTTTTTTACTTCATATTTTAGTTAAAAAATAAAACAACTATTAAAATACTATATTCCCAAACGAGTTGTAAGTTAAAAATTGATAATAAAATGAAATAAACTAAAATCACTTCTTTCTCAATTTCATGATTATAATCAAAAAACTATTAAAATACTATATTCCCAAGCGAGTTGTAAGTTAAAAATTGATAATAAAATGAAAAAAAAATATATATATATATATATGAACACTTGTTTTTTAGTTTCTAAATAATCAGTTTTTATTAATTTATTTAATTTATTTCTATCTCATAAGCTTTAAGCAAAAATTGTCTCAAATAATCTAGTATAGGCCCGGTTTGGTAGGGTTTATTTCAACTTTTAGTTTAATTTAAACTATTTTGATGTGTTTGGTTCAGCTTAACAATAAAACTTATAACTTTTTGTAAGTAAAAAATCAACTTATTCTTTGAGTGGAGGAGGAGAAGCATAATTTATAAGTCAAAAATCAGTTTATGTTCACAGCTATAAGCTATTAAGTTATAAGTTATAATTACTTTCTCACAATTCTACCAAACGGGCTATAAACTCTCAAATTTAAATAAAATGTAATCAACTGATTTAGGAATGTTTGGAAAGAAGGTTTAGGGGTTAAAATATCTTAAAATAAAAATAATAATAATAAATAAAAAATAAAAAGCATATGCAAAGCAAACAAAAAGACAAGTGCAACCCATCTGTAGCAACCCATGAGCAGCACGTTGGCCTAGTTTGGTCTAACTGTTAAAACAGTTTATAAATTATAACTTAATAAATTATAAATTATGACTTTAATAAGAAGTTATTAATCTGTTTGGTGTAATTGTTAGATTATAAATTTAAGTTACTAAATAGTGTTTGTTAAATAAACTGTGAAATAATTTTTTCAATTAATTTTTATGTTTTGTTTGTCTGCATTTCTCATAAAAAATAATAATAATAATAATTTATAATCCATTTGGATCTTTTTCTATTTTTAAAAAAATAAAAAAATCTAAGAGTATAATTATAAATTAGCATGTTCACAGCAAAAGCTGATAATCAGAAGCAATGGGTGAGCAGCTTCTCAGAATCAACTTTTTTGAGTTAAAATAAATTGTTAGAATCAGAAACTATTTAAAATAAGTATAACTAAACAGTTCAAAAAACCTTTTTGAAGTTAAAAGTTATAAGTTAGTTTTAAAAAATTTCAAACACCCCATTCTCGAGGCATGTTGCGGGGCTGGGACAGGCAAGCGAAAAAGATTCTGCCGTTGACTTTTTTTTTAAACAAGTTCAATCTGCCATTGACTTCTTTTTAAACAAGTTCTATCATTCAATTCAATTATTATGAATAATTTTGTGATGTTTTGAGAAGTTAATAAAAAATTAATTTTTTGATTTTTTTTTAATTTATTTTATCTTTTAATAGATAAAAAATGTGAAAGATAATATGACTCGAAATGAATAAAAAATTAAAAATTGACTTTTTACCTCCTTACCAAAACACTCTTTTATCATTTCCTTTCTCATAACATTTTAAACACGTTTTTTAATATACTAATAAAATAAAAGATTTAACTCATCTTATCAAATATAAAAATTAAAATAACTTACTAAATTATCTAACTAACAAAAAAAATTAAAAAAAGTAATCACTTTCCCAAACACTTCCTTAATGAAAAAAAAAAGTTTGGAAAATCCAATATAATCCAAAAAGTAAAAAAGTTACACAAAAAGTAAAAAAGGCATTACTATTCACAAATAAAAAGTATTAAAAAAATATTTTATATATATTTATATTACAAATCCACTGAGCAACGTGACAGTCGATGACCAGGCTATTATACACTTTTTTTGGGGCAAAAAAAAATTCCATATGTAAAGTCACAAAATTTAATGGTAATATTAGGCCCTTGGGGGCCCACTAAGGGTTCCGTTTTGATAATCCGAACCGTTCAATATGTAGAACTCGTCGAGTAATATATATCTGTAAAAATTCACGTTGATCGGATATCGTTAACTATATGATCAAATCAATTTTGTATTAACAAAACGGATGGTGTGATAGTTAACTGTTGAAAAAAAAACTAATTTGATCATATAGCAATCGATATCCGATCATTGTGATTTTTTACAGGCATATAATACTTGACGAGTTCTACATATTGAACGGTTCAGATTATTAAAATGGACACATGGTGGCCCCCACAGACCGACCATCACTGTCCAAAAGTTATTTGCCCCAAAGGAGGCAATTATTTTCTGTGTAGACATATTGGGGCAACCGCAGGCCAGCCGTACAACCAATCACTTTTCTTCCACTATACACTTTATTTATACAATTTTTTATTACACATTTTTTTGTAAAAAGACAAAAAGTTAACCCAAAGATCCATATTTTTTTCCTCAACTTTTTAGTTCAAAAAAACAAAAAGTGCATTTATTTAAGACACCCCAAACAACCCCTAAATGTAAAGATGATACCACATCATTGATATCACCATTCAATAATTTGTTTTTCCTTTAACCTATCATGCTTGTGATAAGGTGATTATGTATTGAAGATGGGGTTCAATTGTTATATATAAGTTTATTATTAATTTGTGATATCATATAACAACACTCGTTAAAGTGAAATTTTATATCACTTTTAATGGGTGTGTATAGAAGATCTCACCTCTATATAAACATGTCATAACATGCTTTTGTTACAAACTCACATATATTGCTACTAGCAGCTGGTCCTTGCACATACACACCACCTCACCTAAATATTTTCCAAGCAAAAATGGTGACCGTGGAGGAGGTCCGGCAAGCACAGCGGGCCCAAGGTCTGGCAACGATTATGGCGATTGGAATGGCAACTCCTCCCAACTGTTTCGATCAGAGTACATTTTCAGATTATTACTTTCGTATTACTAACAGCGAGCATAAGACCGAACTCAAAGAAAAATTTAAGCGCATGTGTGAGTTATATATATATTGCGAGATTACTGAATAATTTTTTGAATTCTGCCCTCCTGAATTTTGGTATATTCATGCATGTGTCCAACCACCTGCTTGTGTGCATTCAAAGTGACAATTTTGAGAAAATATTGTTTGTATATTTTCAGTATATGTTATACTCCAACATTCTTTTATAAAAGAAAAAACCCAACATTTAGCCGGTTGAGATTTTTTTTGAGTTAATTATCTAAATATCCTATTTACAAATGTTTGCTTAGATTTTATCTAAGATTTTTTGAATTAATAAATCTTATTTAGTAAAATTAAAAATATTATCAATTTTTCCTAATTTTTAAAACTAAGAACATTATTAATTTTGTATAATAATGTTCAAGATAATTGTTTTACTAACTGATAAAGAAAAACAGAGCATAAAATTAAATATTTTTGTCCTTCTACTTATTGGTTTGATTCAACTATCCAATAAAACCGAGAACTGATAAAGAAAAACAGAGCATAAAATTAAATATTTTTGTCCTTCTACTTATTGGTTTGATTCAACTATCCAATAAAACCGAGAACATTATCAGTTTTTTTAGTTTTAAAACTGAGAATATTATCAGTGTTTTCATTTTTAATTTTTTTTTCCAATTTTGCATTTCAATATTCCATCATCATACTCATTAATAGATACAAAATTTTCAGTTTTGTACAAAAAAATAATTTAGTTATTTCAATTTTTTCAAATAAAAAACAATTAGTTCTTTTTTTCACATAATTTTTTTTTTTTTAGTTTTTTTCAATTTGAAAGTTGATGTTTTAAAGTTTTGAAAATCAAAATAAATGTTAAATCATAAATGATGAATAATGAATGTCAATTCTGACTATTAAAAATTTAAAGGAACGTGAAGGTCTAAAAAATCTTAACTAAGACTTATTGGAGTATAAGTTCATAAATTAAGATTTGTGTATAAATTTCTCTTCTTCTTTTTTTTTATCCCGGAAAATTTAGATCATTTCCATTATATTGTATAAAAGAGAAATTGGTTGTGAAATGTGTAAAAAAATACACACAAAAAAATGACATAGTATGAATTAATGTCTCGATGTAATGATATGCCTGGAATGTTTTCGCGTTTATTTTTTGTTTTTATTTTTTTATAATCGATAAGAGAAAAATAAGGAAAGAAAAAATGCATCGTGCATCGTTGAGATTAAAAAGCTTTCATCACACAATAATCGTCTTACCTTTCCACTTAATGCCTACATGAAATTTGACTTTTTTAGCGATGAAATTAGTCAATAATTCGAAGATTAAATATATAAAAAATGATGTATAAATTTATTTTTGATTCACTTTATAAATTTAGTGATATGCTTATATAAATAGTTGATAATTAAATAATATTTAATTATTAACTAATCATCTTCTTAACTTATTATTGAGTTTATGAAATAAGTCTAATTTATGAGTCTAAATAGTAATTCTCTAAATATATATATATATATATATCACTGAAAAAAAGAGAAGCTTTTATTGATGTAAAAGAATACATAAGAGAACACTAATACAACAAAATAAAAACCAATGAGCATCCCCACAAAATTGAGACAAAATACCCAACAAAAGCATCCACACATGGCCAAACAAAGGAAAAGAATGAACAAAATAATTTTATTTGAACACATTTCACAATCTCGTAAATTTGTAAGACTCATCTTTTGTGAAACATTTGTATCACATTCGGTATTTCATTTATATAGTTTTATATTATTAGTGAATAAATTCTTCTAAAATTGGGACATATAAATATGTCCAAATTTGTATTTCTTTGTGTTTTTTTTTTGTTTAATGAGTTAAATAATAAAAATGATACGAGAATTCCAAAAGAAGGGAAAAAAAAAAACCAAGAAGAAGAAGTACACAATCACCACCCAACATTTGAACCTATGGCTTGCTTTGTAAAGTTCCCAATCTTCTTTTTGTTGCGTATTGCAGGTGACAAAACTATGATTAAGAACCGTTATTTGTACTTGAGTGAGGAAATTTTGATAGAGGCTGCTATTAATGCAATCAAAGAATGGGGCCAACCAAAATCCAAATCACCCACTTGGTCTTTTGCACCACTAGTGGTGTTAACATGCCCGGTGCCGACTTTCGCCTTGCCAACCAACTCGGTCTGCATCCATCTGTCTATCGTTTCATGATGTATCAACAAGGTTGCTTTGTCGGTGGTACGGTTTTTCGCCTAGTCAAAGACCTAGTTGAGAACAACAAAGGTGCTTGAGTCTTAGTCATCTGTTCTGAGATCACAACGATGGCATTTCGTGGGCCTAGTGACATCGATCACAGCAAACTTTTGGCCCAGGCCTTGTTTGGTGATGGTGCAGCTGCAATTATAGTTGGGTCGGACCTAGTGCCCGGGGTTGAGAAGCCTTTGTTTGAGATCGTCTCAGTGGCCCAAACCACTCTCCTTGATAGTGAAAGTGCCATCACATTACAACTTCGTGAAATGGGCCTTACATTCCATTTGAGCAAGTGTGTTCCTGGGCTTGTCTCCATGAACATAGAGAAGATCTTGGTGGAGGCATTTCAGCACATGGGCATCTCTGATTGGAACTCTATTTTTTGGATTTTACATCCTGGTGGGCCTGCTATTTTGGACCAGGTGGAATTAAAGTTGGGCCTTAAGCCCGAGAAGTTATGGGCCAGTAGGCATGTCCTAAGAGAGTATGGTAATTTAACAAGCGGATGTGTGTTGTTTGTACTGGATAAGATGAGGAAGAAGTCAGTTGAGAATGGGCTTAAGACCACTGGTGATGGGCTTGAGTGGGGCGTGCTTTTTGGGTTGGGGCCTGGGCTCACTGTTGAGACTGTGGTGCTCCACAGTGTCTCCACTTAATGGGCTTAGCCCATAAGCCTTTTTGAGATAAATGCACAAAATTATAACTATGATAAATGGAATACTTGGAGATCATAATTTGAGATATATAATTATGGAGATCCTTTAATAAAAATCACAGTTACCGTTGTTGAGGATTATGGCTATGAAATCTACCACTACGTCACTCTCAAACTTGGCTGGCATGGCCTTGCTTTCATGGAGTTGGCTTGGCTTGCTCTGCATTGGGGAGGATCACCCTCAATTTGCCCTGTTCAAGCTCCAAAGCCACAGTGGAACAGAGTTGTTATTTCTGTTTTTATTGTTGGCAATATTGCTTGCTCTATTGCCTTGAATCATATGTTCTAGTTATAATGAAATTGATCAAACCTTGAACAAAGAAAACAAAATGATTAAAGTTTTTATGCATTACTAAATTAAGGAAAGACAGAGAATAAAATTTCAGTACAATACCTCTGGCAACTTTCAAGGTCAATTGTTTCTTTCCATCTGCAAAACGTAACAACACACCATTAACTAAGGCTGTGTTTAGATAGGAATTTAGAAAGGAAAAGAAAAAAGGTGAGTGAAATGTACATGTATTTCATTTATATTTCACTACTTTTTCTCTTTTCCTTTGTAAATTCCTACGCAAATCAATAATAAAAGCACCAGTCTAAGAGACATAATTTTGAAGCAACAATGCCCATATTAAATGAATAACTGCAGCCCAGTCTCGGTAATAGAACATTTTCTAAGCTTGTTAGAAGGCTAAATGAAATAGTACAAGTTTGATGTTTGTTGCTTTTGTTTTTTCTCTTTTTAATCTTCCATTTACATGAATCTTTTTTCGTACTCTTTATCACTTTCGGGAGTAAAATGACATTTTAGTCCTTTAATAACACATTTTCCCCCAATCTAAAAAAATAAATAATTAAATAGTACATTTTTTCCTCTTTTATTTGTTTTTGGAATTTTTTTCATTTCAATCATGGTGTCACAATTCTCTTTTCTAGCTTCTTTTGATTTACCCATAACTTTATCAAATAGAAATTTCAATAGTGAGATTTCAACAACTGACCCCAGATTAAAGACTCATGAGCAGAAGGTACTCTTGTGTCAATAAACAAAACTTGTGAAGATTTTGGTAAAACTTATTTTTATACCAGTGCAATCCTTCAAAAAAGAAAAAAAAAAAAATTGTATCTACTGTTGTAATGACTTTTGAAATTTAATCACCGTCAAAAAATTTAAAATCACACTCCCTATAAATTTTGTGCAAGGATTGCTCTTCAAATTTTAATATGTTTTCCTATTAAAACAAATCATTGGTAGCCACATCTTAAAAAACTTTACAATAAACAGGAAATACAATATATTTGTTTGTATAAAATTATATTAAACAACTTTTTATAATTTTTTATTTTATTTTATATGTAGTCTTATAGTTTTTTTTTTTTCAATTGCATCACTTTTAAAATTTTATGGTCCAAAGTACATAAACTTATGAGAAGTGAAAAGGAAGTCTCTTTGATAATTTAATGTGGGAACTACGTATAGCTGAAAAAAAAAAAAATTATCAACATATGGAGGGGTGCAAGTGCTTACATCCATACAGTCCTTACACCCATACAGTCTTTCATTTATGATCTACTATAATTATTTATATATTTATAATTTTTTTCGCTTTCTCTTATTTGTATATAATTCTCCCTTATTTAATTGACCAAATTACCCTACATTAATAATATTTGGAAAAAATTATAAAAAAGAACAAATAATCCTGTCCAACTTCCAAGCAGTTCCTTTTGTCAACGTCAAGTCTGGACCCATTAAAAGAAAGTCTGACTTCATGCCATTGGTTAAAGAGTCCGGATTCTCGGTCGCCCTTCTCGGCGGCCGTTCCCAGCAGCCCCCAAAACGACGTCGTTTTGGGGTTTTTTTTGTTTTTTTGTTTTTGTTTTTGTTTTTTCCCAAATTAATCATGTAAAAACAAATTTGTAGGAGTATTATGCCAGAATTTTTTACATTTTGTCCCAACAAACTTCATTCTCCATATATTTTAGTTCATTGCATTTTAATCTTTTCCTCCTAAGGAATCCTTTAAGAAAATTGTAATGCCCTCAAAATAATAACATTAAAACCCATCAACTTAGTCATGCATTGGAGTAAAAGATAAACATTCTTCTATTCATCAGAGTAGTTCTTTACAAAAGTATTACATGTTAACAACAAAAGCAAATGCCCTACGGGCTTACAGCTTTTCAAGTTAACACTTGGGGTCAATTGTTTCTTTTCCATCTGCAAAACGTAACAACACACCAATTAACTAAGGCTGTGTTTAGATAGGAAATTTAGAAAGGAAAAGAAAAGGTGAGTGAAATGTACATGTATTTCATTATATTTCACTACTTTTTCTCTTTTCCTTTGGTAATTCCTACGCAAATCAATAATAAAAGCACCAGTCTAAGAGACATAATTTTGAAGCAACAATGCCCATATTAAATGAATAACTGCAGCCCAGTCTCGGTAATAGAACATTTTCTAAGCTTGTAGAAGGCTAAATGAAATAGTACAAGTTTGATGTTTGTTGCTTTTGTTTTTTCTCTTTTTAATCTTCCATTTACATGAATCTTTTTTCTACTCTTTATCACTTTCGGGGAGTAAAATGACATTTTAGTCCTTTAATAACACATTTTCCCCCAATCTAAAAAAAATAAATAATAAATAGTACATTTTTTCCTCTTTTATTTGTTTTTGGAATTTTTTCATTTCAATCATGGTGTCACAATTCTCTTTCTAGCTTCTTTTGATTTACCCATAACTTTATCAAATAGAAATTTCAATAGTGAGATTTCAACAACTGACCCCAGATTAAAGACTCATGAGCAGAAGGTACTCTTGTGTCAATAAACAAAACTTGTGAAGATTTTGGTAAAACTTATTTTTATACCAGTGCAATCCTTCAAAAAAGAAAAAAAAAAAATTGTATCTACTGTTGTAATGACTTTTGAAATTTAATCACCGTCAAAAAATTTAAAAATCACACTCCCTATAAATTTTGTGCAAGGATTGCTCTTCAAATTTTAATATGTTTTCCTATTAAAACAATCATTGGTAGCCACATCTTAAAAAAACTTTACAATAAACAGGAAATACATATATTTGTTTGTATAAAATTATATTAAACAACTTTTTATAATTTTTTATTTTATTTTATATGTAGTCTTATAGTTTTTTTTTTTCAATTGCATCACTTTTAAAATTTTATGGTCCAAAGTACATAAACTTATGAGAAGTGAAAAGGAAGTCTCTTTGATAATTTAATGTGGGAACTACGTATAGCTGAAAAAAAAAAAAAATTATCAACATATGGAGGAGTGCAAGTGCTTACACCCATACAGTCTTTCATTTATGCTCTACTATAATTATTTATATATTTATAATTTTTTTCGCTTTCTCTTATTTGTATATAATTCTCCCTTATTTAATTGACCAAATTACCCTACATTAATATATTTGGAAAAAATTATAAAAAAGAAACAAATAATCCTGTCCAACTTCCAAGCAGTTCCTTTTGTCAACGTCAAGTCTGGACCCATTAAAAGAAAGTCTGACTTCATGCCATTGGTTAAAGAGTCCGGATTCTCGGTCGCCCTTCTCGGCGGCCGTTCCCAGCAGCCCTTTTTCTGATTTTTTTTTTTTTTCTTTCTTCTTCCTCGTTCGAATAGAACCAGAGGGGAGGGGAGGGGAGGGAGGGGAAGAAGAGAGAGAGGGGGAGGGGAGGGGAAGAAGAGAGAGAGGAAGGGAGAAGAAGAGGGAGCCGCCGGTGGGCCGGACTGGAGGGGGCCATAATCACCGGGGGAGGAGGAGGAGGAGGTGGAGGCGGGCCGGAGGCGGAGGCGACGGCGATGCAGCTGCTGCGACGAGCTGGATCGGGCGACGATCGGACGGCTGGCGAGCTCGACGACCTGCGACGGCGAGTCTTCGGCGAATCCGGACCCCCTCCCCTCCCCTCCCCTTCCTCTCTCTCTTCTTCCCCTCCCCTCCCCTTCCCTCTGGTTCTGCGAAAGAAGGAAAAAAAAAAAAAAAAAAAAAACGAAAAAAAACCCCCAAAACGACGTTGTTTTGGGGGCTGCTGGGAACGGCCCGCGGAAGGGCGGCTGAGGATCCGGATTCTTGGTTAAAGAAATCTATGAGTCAATTCGCCTGTTTAGTTTCAATTTTTAAAATTTAATTTTTTTAATTAAA